GGGTCTGCAGTGGTCAGGAGAGGAGGCAGCCGCTGCCGGCGGGCTATGGACGGTTACCTCAGAGCTGCCCTGGGCTGTGTGCTGGCAAGGGCTGGGGCAGGGGGTGGCCTCTCCCCCCCACCCCGCCCCCTCCATCAGGGGGCTGTGAGAGGTCGTGGTGACTGGTGCTGTGATGTTTGTGACAGTTAAGCTGTGTGAGGGGGGAGCCGCTCCCCTCCACCCGCCCCACAGTGTGAATGTGCAAAACAGAGCCCCTCAGGCCGAAGCCCCCCCACCCCTGCCCTGCCAGAGACACTGGGATTGATCAGAGTGGAGCTCCTCCCCGCCCGCCCTCCCGCAATGCACTGAAACAGGCCCAGCCGACCGCTGCCCGTGCCCACCACACGCACACACACTCACACGAGCACACTCGCACACACTAAGCTGAGGGGCTGAGGCATCCGCGAGGCTGGACCCCCCCCCCAGGCGGGGCCTCCTTTCCCCTCGGGCCTTAGGACGACTCTGGGGGGCTGCTCGGCATCTTTAGCAAATTGTCATCCTTGACCTAAAGGTTGTGCCCGCCTGGTGCCCTCCTGCCGTGGCCTGCCTGTGAGCCGAGGAGAGACTCCCCGCGCAGCCTGGCTGCCGGGTCCCTGCTCCGCCCCGGTTAGCAGGCCCCTGCCTCCAAGCCCGCAGCTGGGCCAGCAGGGGCTGTCGGCACAAGGTCTGAGCGACGCCGCTCACGGGCTCCCATGCTCTTCTCGGGCTCCTTCCCTCCCTGCCCCCGCCCTGTGCTTAGGAGGTCACGTCCTCATTTCTTAAACGTTGAAACAGAAGTACCCCTTGCTTTCTGTCCCCTTCTTTCTGGCAGGTGGCAAGAGCCCCCGGGCAGGGGAGCTTGGGCTGCAGGGCGTGGGCAGGAGGCGCAATGGACAGGGCCAGCTGGCCTGCCCTGATCCTCTTCGTTCCCCTCACCTGCCCCCCAGAGCCCTGCTCCCCACCAGTCCACCCACGTCTGCAGGCTGGGGAGAGGAACAGGGTCTGCAAGCTTCTCAGCCCCGAGCATCCCTGGCTGGTCTCGTCCCTCGAGTCCCCTCCCTTAAGCCCGTGGCCACACAGCCAGGAGAGGGGGGCTTGCCGCTGAGAGCCCTGGCGCCCACCTCCTGCCAGCCCGGGCTGCCCATCCGAGGAGCCCTGAACCAGTCCCGCCTCTGCTGCTGTCCCAGAGAACCCAGGGACCAACACCGGGCCAGGCTCCACCCCCAAAAGGGGCAGGAGGGCGGTTCCCACAGCCCCGCACTGTCCTGGCCCTCCGGTCTCGGTCTCGGGGCAGCCCTTCTGCTGTTCCCCAGGGACCTCTCATACACTGGCGCAGGAGGCTCCCCGCCTCCCCTCCAAGAGGTCCCCTTTCTCTGCCCGACCCCAGGGCAGGCAGGTAGGAGGCTCGGCCCCGGCCGCCCTTCTGGTTTTTAGATGGTCCCTGTGTTGGAAGTAAAAAGTGAAGCACTTTATTTTGGTTGTGTTTGATCGCATTCTGCTTGGAAGTGGGGACCCCTCACTGCGTCCTTGTGTCTGCGACCTGTGTAGAGTGTCACCGCATGTACATATTGTAAATTATTTATTAACGGCTAAATGCAAGTAAAGTTTGGGGGTTTTTTTGTTTTGTTATTTTCTTTTGGACTGCGTGTTGGAATTTGCTTTCTGAATAGACTGGCTCCTTTGAAGGGGTGGAGGGTTGGCTTCGATGGGGGGAAGGCCCCTTCCGGTGTGTACGTCCGGGCGCAGCTAGCCCACGTGTGTGCGCACGTGAAGAGGAGTTGCGGACACCTGTGGGCGGTGAAGCCATTTAACGGAAGCTCCCTACTTCTCTAAAATTACTTTTTCTCCTTATGGGGCTTGAGGGCTCCAAGTGTTCTTGCCCCAGTGAGGCTGGAACAGTTTTGGGGACAGATGATGGCCACATGGCAGAGGGACATGAAGGGGGTGGGGGGCAAGAGGTTGGGTGGGGTGGCCTCAGACTCAGGATGATGCCGTGTCGGCTGCCCCCGTCAATCTAGGAGCCCTAGAGCTGGGACTGTGGCTACTCCTGCTCATACAGCCCGGGGCCAGAGTGATGGCTCCGCAGAGGGGATCAAGACTTGCTTGGGGCCAGGTTCCCTACTAGCTGTCATCACATTTCACCTCTTAAAAACCACTCAATGAGTCAGGAACAAATTCATGCCCATTTTACAGACAAAGAAACAGAGGCTCGGAGAGATGAATTGATTTGCCTAGGGTCCTTGGCAGGGCAGGCCCAAGAGGTCCTTTTTGTCCTGTCTGGGCCTGCTCTTAACACCAAATGTCATAAGGGGGAATAGCAGCACCGTTAAGCCAGGCCACATCCCGGGGTTCTCCCCTTTCCTAGCCCTGTGACCTTGAGCAAGTCCCCTAACCTCTCTTGAGCCTCTGATTCCTCCTCTGTAAGGTAGGGAGTGCCTATCCCATGCGGTTGTTGGGAGAATCGGTGAGTTAATTCCTGTAAAGGACTCAGGACGGCCTGGCACAGAGCGAGTGTACCAGGGCTGGTATCCCTGTTTTCCCAGGGCAGGAGGGGTTGAGTGAGGCTGTGAGTGGGAGGAGAGGGGAGAGAGCCACACAGACCCTGGGAGCTTGGGAGGGGGGTAAGCTGAAGGCTAGCGAGGGCAGGAATCCAGAGAGTGAGCATGTAACCCATCCAAACCGAAGAAGAAGGTCAAAGGCAGGAAGGGAGAACCTTCTAGAACCCAGGTTCCCAGAGGGAGCATGAGATTCCGGTCATTGGCAGGAAGAACCAGACTGGAAGGGACAAAATGAGTCCAAACATACCTACACATCTTCTCTTGTTGCCCCAACTGTCAGGACCGGTAGGCCTCTCTCTCTCTCTGTCTCTCTCTCTCTCAGTAGTAGCCGGGGTTGGAATAACTCACAGGGGAGGCGCCACGGAGGCAGCAGAGCCTCTGGCACTTGACCAGCGCGGAAGAACCGATGATGGAGCAGCCAGAGCACACAGGATTGAAACTAAAAAAAATCCCGTTCACCATCAGATGAAAATGCTGCGGCACTTGCCAGAGAATATTCTTGGTTTGGAATTCGTTCAGGACCCTAAACTTAACCAGCTGGAACTCTTTCCCAGTACCATGCTACTAGTAACCCATGAACATGGAAATTTGCATTTCATCATGAATATGGAACACGGAGTCTTGAGCTAAATGATCCCCAAGAAGTGGCTTCATCTTGCACTGCGGGCTGGGTTTGGAGCAGCCTCCTTTGCCAGCAAGATGCGTGCGGGCCAGCCGGCCTGGAGGTAAAAGCATTATTAGATGGAGGTGCGTCTCCCCTCGCTGCACCCCAGCACTCTGATGTGTGGCAGAAGCTCTTGGAGATTTTGTGTGGCCAACCAGAATTCATCAGGAGGGAAAAGGCTGCTAGCAACACATGCATGAGGGTCACTCGTAACGAAGGAGTCAAATTCTGGGGTGAAAACCCTCACCGGGACCCCTGCGCAGAGACGCATCCGAGCCAGGCGTGACTGGGGCTCATCAGTGATGCCAGGGAACCCCGTGGAAAGGGGCGGGGCGGGGTGGGGGGGGCGCAGCACTTGGTCTCGGGCTGCAGGCCCGCTTGGCGTCCAAACTGGCTCTGCCCGTCACTAGTTGTGTGGTCTCCTTTGGATTTTTGGAGCCTTGGAGTCCTTATTTGTAACACGGAATTATGAGTCCCTCCCTCCCGAGGTCATTATAAAAATGCAACGAGCTCATGCTCATACACTGCCTCGCACATGGGCCCCTAAGCAGCACCGCGAGGCCACCCAACATGGCGGTCGCTTCCCTTGGCAACGGCGCATGCTCTGCATTCAAGCGCTAACTCCTTCCGGACCGCCTGTGCTGGGGGCGTCTGGCCGAGTCCCCACAGACAGACTTTCCTGCGTGCTCGCTGGGGAGACCGGTCAGTACACAGTGACCCAATCGGATGTCCC